TATTTTACAATAACTTTTAAAATTTATAGGGAGTTATACATCAGAATATAGCTTTTAAAAATTATGAGAGTATGAACAGTATCTTTTTCTTTGTAATCCAGAAAATTTCTATCAGGAGGCACATGGACCAAGCTTATTTTGGTCTGAGGTAAATTGAACAAAGTAGGGGCCATGTAGGTAGACTTATAAAGGGGATAGTTTCCTTTCTTTGTAAAGACTATCTTTTCTTCTGAGATTTTATTCTTTCTAGATTTTCAGATTGTGGTACTTTATTATGTCTTTGCTTTTATGAGATGATAAGGATAGCATCTTACTCTTTAATGTCTTTATTTAAAAACAACCAAACCAACAAAATAGCTCTGTCATCCTTTTCCTTTAATAGGTCACAGAGGACCCGGAGCCTGTGAATCACTAATCTACACAAAGCAGTGAGGTGATTTACGTGCCTATTTTCAGGGGAAGGGTGCTTTTAATAAAATGTGGCTTGGATATTGTTATGTGTCAGGTAAAAGGCCAAAGACCAAGATCAGACCAGGCCACAACAAGCCTTTATTAGGGGAATAGATCTGCCGGGCTGTCTCTGAACAAAGGAGAGACAAAAGCAACATGGCCGGGGCAGGGAGAGTGTTTTATAGAGACAGGGGTGTGGTTCATAGGGGCTGAGGCCGGGTTGAGTGAGGTAATGATCAGGGAGTGGAGGAGCCCGTGACGTCCCTAGATGGTAGGAGGTGAGCGAGTATTAGGTTACTCTCTAGGTGGGACCAGGGGCATGCTGGGAAGAAGGGTTTGTTCTTTGGTGGGAGCAGCCATCTTGGCATGACGTCACACAGGGGAGGGGGCAAGGCAGGATAGGAAGAGGGCAGCTACTATCCATAATAGCTGCTGAGGTGGTGGGAGACCTATCATGATGTACTACATGTTTTCAGTTCCTTAGAGTTCACATGTTGAATCTTAAACCTCGATGTCATGATATTAGGAGGTGAGGCTTTGGGGAGGTGATTAAATCATGAAAGTGGATCGCTCCTTAATGGGAATGGTTCCCTCCCATGAAGAGACATATAGGGCTTGCTCTCTCTTTTTTGTCTACCATGTGAGATTACAAGAACATAGTCAGATGCACACCAGAAACTTTAGTTTCACCAGACACCACGTGTCTCAGTGCCTCAGACTTTCTAACCTCCAGAACTGACAAAAGTAAACGCCTGATTTTTAGGACCCCAGGGGTGTTACGACAGCCCTAAGTAAATAAAACCGATATGTACTCAAAGAACTGTGGTGAGAAAGAAAGGTAGTCAAACACAGAATGTGGGATCAGGCCCGACATTCTGTGACATGTAGTCCCAAATATCAAGGTGTTAAGAGTGAGAGACAATGGAAGCAGATGAAAGCTCATGGAAAATGTGTGTGGACACAGAAGTTTCCATCTAGACACCCAAATGGATGCATTTCTACATCTGCAGTTTTACTCGGTGCTGGACACAGAATTTTATGCTGCCCATGGATTCGTATTTCTCTTTTTGAAAGCTCTGAATGACAGTGTTCCTTTGATTAATAGAATCTCCTTATTGTAAGTGTCTGAATCACTTCAAAGTAGCATAGTATAATGTTTTAATTATACTACATTCTACAATGTAGATTATAGATTTATATATTTTAGTAACATAATAATCATTAATTGTTTTAGAACAATTGTTTTTGTTTTTGTTTTACTATTTTCATTGCTCACTAATTCTGTTGGCAGATACCACTACCTCCATCCTACAGGTAAGGAATTAAAGCCTAAAGAAACTGAGTAACTTTGCCAGCTACTAAGTGGCAAAACAGAACTCCATTCCTGCCATCCAACTTCGAAGCAGGCTCTCAGCTCCTTTCCTGCTTTGTCTCACCAGTGCATTAACATTCAAAGATCATTCCATACAGATTAAAATACTATTTGCTCTTTGAACCACATTTTGCAATCACTCAGGCAGCTTCTCCTGACCCCTCCGAGGAAAGGACAGGCTTTTTCCCAGAAGCACAATGAACACTAGGACACATCTAAGGGGGTACAAGGGAAATTCAGCAATGTGAACATAAATCCCTTTTAAAATAAAACCACAGCATCTTTAATCAAGGCCTGGCAATCATCATACCATTTCTTTGAGACTTGAATTGGTAAATGTAGGCTATCCCACTAGGCCTTTAATACTTGGTTAGAAATGAATCCAAGACATTGACTAGCAAGACAATTCATGCAGTACAAACATGAATCTATAATTCTCCTCCCCATTACCACAAAACAGTTAGTTCCTGCCCTGAATTCACTTTGAAGACAATGAGTGCCTGGGAGAAACCATAAAAGCATTGAAAATGGGGCCAGAAGTAATAAATAGGGACTGCCAAAAAAATCTTAATGAATTTCTTTTACAAGTCAAATCTATTGTCCATTTATAACAATTCTGAAGGTTGAACTCAAGGCATACAATTAGTGAGCTAAGTTGCAAGGTTTGCACACAATCCAAAAGCGAGTTTTCTTTTACCTGCATATAATTAAACAGCTGAGAATTATATCTCCTGGTATGAAGAAATTAAAATAATAAAATAAAAGTAAACCAAATACTTTAACATGGAATCTAATCTCTCCCATTATCCCAGCACATTCACATAAAGTCTGCACCAATGGAATTCTTCCCACTCAGCAGGATGGAGATCATCTTCCCAGCAGCCAAACCCAGCAAGGCAAGGACTTTCCTCCCTTCCTGACTTCCCCTAAGAAAGCTTTCAAAGGGAAAACAATGGTCCTGCAAGTGGATGGGAGTTGTTTTGTGCCTGGCCCTTAGGGGCATTTTCTTTTTCTTAAAAAGATTATCTCAACCTTACTGTAGCCAAAAAATGAAAACAAAACAAAACCCTAAAACAAGTTTCTGCAGCAGTTTGAAAATACAAAAGACTGAAATATATTTTTTAATTTATTCATAATTAGTTTACAGATTGGACCACACCAAGACTCCAAAATCAGCAAGCCACTTGGGGATAAATGCTATTGCAATTATCAGTAGCAAGCCAAATGCTACCTTTTGTTCTCACTAAAATCTTCTTTAAAAACATCTCTTAGCAAACGATTTTGTATTTTCTATTTAAAGAGGATTATATAGCACACATAACTAGTAGCTGGATAGCAAAGAACTTCCCATCATTTTATTACCTTGCAAATGTAAATTCATTGTGGTTCACTCCTGTCGGATGACCCCCTTTCCTGTCAATGGGCTATGGCAGGTTGGGTCCTGCCTGGAGTCTTTCCTAATCAGGATGCTGACAGACATATTGCTTGCTCATAGTCTCCTATATCTTGGGGAAGTTCCTATGTTCAGACAGAAGGTTTTCATCCTGAATTAGTCTAGTCATCATAGATAGGTAAGTGAATCAGATATCTTCTTGGCAGGTAGACAGGGCCTCCCTTAAGGCCCCAGTCCTCCAGGAGCTAACACAGAAAGGAACCAACATGGAGAACCACTGAGGCACATTCACTGGTTAGCATTATGAAAAGGAAAAGAAGTACTACTTCCCCTAGAGATAGATAGCAGTGATTGATATTCTAAATGGGAAATTCTTTGTATGTGACTTGTCTTCCCATTTGATCCCCATTTAATCAATATTACCTGGGTGACTGTACTTGTAATTTTTTTTTTTTTTTTTTTTGGTACCGGGGGTCAAACTTGGGACCTTGCACTTGTGAGGCAGGTGCCGGAACCACTGAGCTAAATCCCCGTCCCTGTACTTGTAATCTTATTGGTTGGTCATGGTTTTGTCCCACCTCATGCCACCCTGTAGATTTCCACTGGGTCTTATGGTTTTGTCCCACTTTGTACCCGTCTCACCACATAGCTTTGCTGTGTAAAACATCTTTAAAAAATGGGGTGGGCAGGCAACCCACTTTCCGGTCCCCTTCTGTCTCTCTTAGGTAGAAGCTTTCTTTCTCCCAATAAATTTTTTCTACTCTTATCTTCCATTGTCCCTAGAATTCATTCTTCGATTTTAGAGAATACAAACTCCCATTTCAGATATCCAGTAGATTTGGGAGTTACATCTCTTCTCCCTGTATCATAGTGACTAGCTCTGAGTCATTCCTATTGACTATTACACTCAAATCTTTGGAGGCATATGTGAAGCCCACCTCCAGGTACAATGAAGAGACTACAAATTTCACTTAGCAATAATGACAGGATACAGAAATTGCATTAGTTCCATTAAATAGAGTCATAGAAATATTCCAAAAGGTTAGCTGGATATAGTGAATGTCTCAGACTAAGATAAAAAAAAAATCACTTTGTTAACTTAGAATGTTTCTTCATTGGTTACACCCTATATTAAGGTGCCATTTATAAAGAGTTTATTATTATTTATTAATGTGTGAAGCACTATAGCATGCTAGATAACAATTTAAATTCATGTATTAAAGATGCACATACATGGTTTAATGCGATTTACGTTTTATAATATTCTTTAAAACAGCTTCCCATAGTCTCATCTGTTAGGCATTTATTACTAATGCATTTTATAACGTACTTTATAATACATTATTTGAACAAGTAGCTGCATATAGTGATTATTTCATAAATAAGAATAAAGCATTTATAAATGGCACCTTAATTTAAAGCGTTACCTCCGCATTACTAGATAGCTGCTCACCATTCATCTCATTTTGTGATTATTCTCCAAATGCACCACTTAATAAAACAGACACTAAGTTCTATTTTCCCTTCATCTTATTAAAAGTTTATTGAGTCGTTTCCTCCATCTGCTTTCAGATGTTCATAGCATGGAGGCTTTACTGTGATTTCTGATTAAACTAAACTTTTTTGTTTTTTGTTTTTTTGGTAACAGGGATCAAACTCAGGACCTTGGCTTGTGAGGCAGGTGCGGTGCCACTGAGCTAAATCCCAGGCCCTAAACTAAATTTTTAATTCAACAATATTTTTTGGAAAAAAAAAAAGTAACAATAGAAATGGAGATCCACCTACCATGTTGGACAGAGCCTGTTGTTTGGATTCTTTGTAAAATTCAATTTTTTGGTTAGAAAGAACAATCCAGGAAGTAGACCAGTTTTTCCTTAGGAAGAAGAAAAGAAAAAAAAAATGCATCCTGTTAGAAGAAATCATGTACAAATCCAGTGTTTGCCACATTTATAAATAGTGTATGAGCAATATTAAAATGAATACAGACCTTTATAAACTAGGTACCCTTTTAAAACTAGTTAAACATCTTATCCTTATTAAAATCTAAAAGTGGTGTACAATTCAGATAGTAATAAGGACATTCAGGAATTTTTAAAATATAACATTTATATAAAAGTGTCTTAATTTTTTTAACCTCCTAAAAATCTCTTCAACTACTGAATATTCAATTTTCATGTATCCATGCACCTCCCTTCCACAGAAAGACCAGTGAGCTGAAAGTAGAACAGTAAACCTCAGAAATCAGAGCCCTTTTCCATGTTCTTCTTTGCATTGCATTAGGAATTTCAAAGTCTGAAAAACACAACCAGCTCACCTATCCTTGCTTAATTCAAAATATCTCTTTACAATGAATCTCATTAACAGTCAAAGAAAAGCAAATAAAAACAGTAACATGCTTTTTTCCTCTTTGCCTATCAAATTGCCAAGGATTACAAAGGATGATAATGCCTAAGATTAATGACAGTATAAGAAATGGAGTATCGCATTATTTGTTAATTGTGCATCTATATTATAAAAAGGAGAGCGCTTAAGAAATTTGCATATAATTGATTCATATAATGCATTAACAAACACTGCTGTAAAAGAATACTGATGTGGGAAGATTTTAATGCAGACTATAATGCAATATGTTGTTTTATAACATCATCCTGTGCTATTTACTTGCCATCTCCCATCCCTCCTTCCTGATTATTAATTCCATCCATCAGAAGTTCAAATACTGCTTCCTCAAATGTGACTTCCTTGCATATCTCGTATTATAAATTTAAAAATATTTTAAAATTTCACCTTCAACTATTTCATTAAAAAATAAGCCCCAAAATGATAGAATTATTTTAACCTTAGAGAAATGTCCTTAGTGTCTTAGTACAGTGTTCTGGCCAGTTGAGGAACTAATTATGTATTTACTGGATCAGTAATAGTACTTTGGACTGGAATAAAGAAGCCAGGATATAATAATAATGATAAACCAGGCAGTTAAATAATTTCCTTTAGTTTTTCTTGTTGCTTACCAAGTTTCCTGCAGAGGGAATTTATTACTTCTGTTGTCAGAATGTTGTGTTGCATTGTTATTGAAGACCACTCTTTAGATTAAGGGCATTAATATACTTAACGTTTCTACCCCTATATCATATTGTTGTAGTTTGTTATGATTTAACATTTCTTTCATAATAATTGAATTCAGTTTACAAAAGTGGTAAAAACGAAAGGAAAGTTTACAGAAAGGCTTTATTCAGGTCAACAGAAAATCATACAAATATATGTCAAAAAAATCACTTCACAAACTTAGTGTGATTTATTTTCAGTTGCCTCTGAGAAGCTAGGGCCTTGATTGAAAAAAAACACCTTAATTCAATAGGGTTCATATTTGTAAAAAGAATTAGGTTCCTCTTACATGCCTGAAGCTTTCTTAGTACTAGAGCATTATGTTAAAAAAGAAGTGGATAAAAAGATCCCTAAGAAACACAATGTGAATTTTCCAACATACAAATACAATGCTGTGTTCTTGAACCTCCTTGTCCTCAGATGAAGAGTAAATTTTTCAAATGATGTAAAGTTGAAGAAAAAGAAAGAAACTACTTAAATAACTACTTAAATGTTTTCTCCCGCTCTTTTGTCCTTGTAGCAACCAGCAGGAGTACTGAATGTTGAAACAGGCATAGCCAGCCTGGCCTGGCAGCACAGGCCTGTAGTCCCAGCACTTGAGAGGCTGAGGGAAGAGAGCTGCTCCAAGTTTGAGGCCAGCCTGGCCACACAGTGAGTTAAAGCCCAGGCTGAACTACATGCAAAACCCTCTTACACAGCTTCCCTGTCAAAACCAAAATGAAACAAAAGACAAAGAAAAAGAAAAAAGAAAACAGAAACAGGAATAACTTTTCAGCCTGTGCAGATCACAATACTAGGTGCAATTAGAAGGACTGACGGTCTGGACTGGATCTGTACCATTACCCTCCTTTTGACCATATGTGGTCAGGGAGTATAGAACACACTCACATATAAAGATCCACATTTAACCTGCCTGCCGTATTGCCCATATTTTTCATTATTTGCTTCCTATCTATAGAAAATCCTGTATAAATGGTTCTGATTTGAATCTTTTTAAGATGTTGATCTTTTATAGAACTCGCTGGCAAAACTCTCCCCTTCCTTAAACTTGGAACTGGAACTGGTTAGAACTGAAGCTGCATGAAATTCAATTATCTCATTGTTCTGTCTTAGGACTTTGAACTGCAGTGAACTGTGTCTCTGTTAGGTAAACCAGATGAGCTGGCTGAAGAGGGTAGGAACTGCAGATCATGTGACCTTCTTGAACACTTCATATAGTCTTATTTCATCTTGAATTTTTAAGCAACAAATATTGTCTTTTTCATATTAGAATGGGAGAGAAAGCTTCTCTGAATGTTGGATGTTTTGATTTGAAAAGAACTTCGTTTCAAAATGAAGATACTGCTGACAAAATTTAGATGCTTCTCTTTCAACTTTTCCCTGTGAATTCTTTTAAAATAATAGTTCTTCTAAAATACTTTTTTTAAAAAATGATAAAATATTTTGAATAATATAAATTTGTATAGCTAAGATTTTAGCTTCACATACACACATAAAATAATAACAGCAGTAATATATCCACTTACTATATGAAAAATAAGGCTCAGAGATTTTAGGGAACTTACTTAATGGCACACATTTACATTTAAAGTTAAAGCCAGTTTCTCTGACGACAAAGCCTATAATGTATTTATTACTTGATACCGTCTTTTTTTAAAAAAAAAAAAGTAGTGCTATCTTACATAAAGGCATCACCATTGTCGGCTTTCGACATAGTTTTGGTTGAAATCTTCAAATTAAGAAGCTTTGTATGTACTCTGTGACAAGAAGTCAGCACCTGGGCTCTCTTATTAGTTATCTTCTCAGACTCCTTTTAGCAAGATTGGCAAAGACCCACCCCTCTTAAGCTCAATACCTGAGCTTCTTCTAGAAGTCTCCTGACTTCTCAGACATTTGTCCATAATCTGAGCTGTCTCAGGATTGGGCCCTGCTCTTTAGCTGGTGTGCCACCTGGTATATTATGTGCATTATGTATGTGAAGCACTAAGCCAGTCATAAGTGCCTGCTGCACATTTACCCTTGCCAAACACAACTCTGGGGGTTGATGATATAAATGAAAATAAGAGAAGACAGACAATACACGTAGAAACAAGTAAGTCCTCTGAATAACTCAGAGTGATGAGTGATGTCTCCACACTACCGATGAGAAAATGGAAGCCTAATGAGGTGCATCCTATACAAGATGCACAGGTCATAAAGAGAGAAAACAGGCCAAGTCTGCTGGCCTTGAAATGCAGGTTCATCCTAAGGCCTTGCCTGTCTCGAGGAGGCATGGAGGGAGCACTCTCCTTGTTGACTCTGTCTACATGGAACCTCATGATAGAATTTCAGACAAGGAGAGTCAGAGCTGTCAAGAAATTATTAGAACCCCTTCTCCACCTCAGCTTGACCTGGGCTGCTCTGCAGTGCTGAACTGACAGCCCCCCATGTCCTGACTTCCAAACTATGTGATGGCCACCAGGTAAATCCACCCATCAGTTGGAGCTAGTTAATGGGTCCACATTTCATCAAAGCATTCAGTAGATGACTTCTGTTTTTCTACCAAGGGCTGTAAGAGTGAGTTACTGAGTAGATTTAAGGTTAAACAAAACACATAGCGCAGAAAATACCCCAGTTCAGTATGACAGAGGTCTTAGGTGTAAGTGAGGCAGTTCCAGAGCTCCACTTGCAGACACAATCAGGTACAGGATGCATGCTAGTGATTCAGTGTAGGAAACACATCCTGGGACAGAAAATGGGGGTATATATTTCACTTTTGGACACACAACACAAATCACATCTATGGGAGTAATGGTGCCTACTACAATGAAGGAAGGAGAGCTAAGTTCATATAGGGGCAATTATGTAAAATGTATGCAACCACTAGGGTATCATATCCAAGTGGACTACTTTATAGATCTTTCTTAAAACAAATTTTGAGTTGTGAAGTTGGAAAATGAGGAAAAACAAGCAAAACTCCTAATAAACAAAATACCCCCCAAACAAAACAAAACAAAAACAACCTCCACACAAGCATCAGCTTGACATTCTACAAAATGGACACCGGATGGCAGCACATAACAGCATCTTTGTAACTGTTTATGTGGGGAATGCATGATGGAGAATGGCCCTTAAATTAGTCATTACCATTATAACAATCTGTGAGTTTGAGCTCTGGGTTTAACAAATTCATTTACTCTAAATATTGAAGTTTTATATCCTATACCAATCTATGCTTCTTTAGGTAACGGCACAGCAACAAAACGAAGTCAGAGGAAAATATAAATGAGATGACTTCATACATTTCAGAATCTCTTCTTTGGACCACCTGCCGCTATTACTTGCTTTGGTCACACCGAATTTGACCTGATTCTGCACTGGTTATGAGAGTGGAAGTTATTTACTATAGTGTCCTCAACTGATTTACTGCAAAAATCCCGCAAACACTAATGCTCTGACTTGTTGTAAGACTGGCAAATCTCAGAACTAATTTCTTCTCTCTCATATTCTCGGCTCCTTGTAATTTACCACTGCTGAGAGGTAGGCTGAGGAGACACTGTAAAAACATACATCTATGTCAGGGATGCAGGAAGATAAAGACAGGTTCAGCCTGCCAGAACTCACAGCCATTCTGAGCAGGGCAAAGATCTGCATTTTTTCAGACCCATCTTCTGTCCATATTTTCACCCCCAAGTGTTTCTGTGGCTTCTGAAGAGGATAGAAGGGTGGAAGCTGCATATGACAAGAGGTAGACAACCACAAAGGAATCAACACAGGAGATGTGGGTGCAGGGAAACAAGTAGAAGGTATTGAAATAGCACAGTCTTGCTTTCAGATGCCTTTTGTAAATGTAAGCATTGAAAATAAGTTTTTATTCAGGCCTCACAGAATTTCGGAGAAGCAATGGCTACTTACAGTTTGGGGGATGGAATTCCCCAAATGAAGAAATTCCTAACTTCATCAGAGGAGCAGAGGCATAATTTCAATATTCATAATTAAAAATTAAAGTTGAATGCTGAATGTATTCGGCTTTCAAGCCTGTCAGTGTATCACAGGGGAAATGTGTATAACCTCATTTTGAAATAAGGCTAAATTTAGGGCCTTTTATGAATATAAGATGTAGCCAACAAGTTCTATTTCCTGTCACCTTCGCCTGTTCATATTGAAATACATCAAAAATTTTTAAAGAAAAAGTGAAACTATTTGAAAGAGAAATAAAGACAAATAAAAAAGAAAATAAAGAAAGGGAAGAAAAAATATGGAAATAATACAAAATGTAAATGATCTAGCACGGATTTATTAGTAGAAAACTTGACACAAATTTTAAAAACAATATTAAGTGACAGGTGAAGCTGTTGGAACTGTTTTTGGCAAGAAACAAAAAGTCAAGTTTTACTTGGTTTCCCAAAGCAAGGTATCTAAAACAAACATGTTTTATACAGAACAGAGCTAAATTCCATGTTCTCAAATATTCCCACAATAATATGGAAGAAAGGAGATGTTCAGTTTCTCCATTTGTGTAGGAGGAAATAGTAACTAAATCTCATTATAATATTATTTGAGTACTACTAGTGAAGCAATTAGACAATTGTTTGACATAGTAAGCATCTACTAATACTGCTTATTAGTTCATTATAATTTATTAGAATGATATAAAGATTCTGAATAAATGAAAAGAAAATTACCAAAAGAAATTTCATGTAAGACCTACAAAGGATAGTAACTGTGGTATATTATATAATAATTACTAAATTATCAATGGGGTAAAACCAATTGATTTTTCTGGGTTATGACTAACCTGACCATTTTGTTGCTAGTGAAAAAACCATAAAGACAACTAGGGCAACCAATAAGGTGATACATAATAAGACTCATTATAAATCATTCATATAATTTGACCACATAATCCAGGCTTAGCATTTAACATAGTGGGATACTGTATGATATTAAACATTGTGCATATATATATATAATGTTTAATTTGTACAGTATATATAATAAAACCACAAATAAAAACCCTACAAATATGGAGAAAATATTTACAATATCTAAGACTGACAAATTTTTTCTATTTAGAGCATACTACAAGTCCTGTCTCTCTGTATATGTAAATGTATATATGTATATGTGTGTGTGTGTGTGTATATATATATATATGTCAAGAAACTCAATAAAAATAGTCAAGGCTTGCGGTGAACAGACAATTCTCAGAATGCATAATCTTGATAATTCCAAATAAAGTTAATCTCAACTACAATACCATTCAGTGAAACACAAATGAAAGCAGCTTTGCAGTAAAGGTCTATGGTCATGAACTTGACACAACTGGGAGGATATGATAATGTGCTTTGGTAAGATTAAGGGGAGCAAGGCTTTTTTTCTGTATCGTAGAGCGCACTGTTGTGAATCAGTGCTCTCATTCAGCAAAAGTCTTGCAATGGAACTCAGTGGGTCTATAAATGTCCTGCATCCTGCACTCCTGGATATAGAACCTGGAGAGCTTTTCTGACAGGTTCAAAGGACATAGATGTATAATTATTACATTGTTGTTTGAATGGAAGGAATTAGAGACAATTCAAGTGTTCCTGCCTGGGAGAGAGGGTAAGTAAAATTTGGAGCACACTCACAATGGCAAAACAGGCAGCAATCAGGAGAAATGAACTAATTTTAAATATAGCACCATAGATGGCCATGCACTAACATTGATGAGAGTAATGAAAACATATTGAGGTTTATAATACAAAAATGCTTTTCCCATACAGAATACATCCAGTTATACAGAGTTACACATTGCTTTTTCACCCATGCATATAGCCAAATACCTATTTGGATGGTGGATTTGATGAACAGTTAGAATGTTTGTCTACAGGGGATTGAAGTGAGAGTTGGAGACTGAGAATGAAATAAAACCAACTAGGCGCCTTGCTCCAAATAATGAAAACACAAGGGTATAAACTGAAGGGTGTAATCAACTCAATTCCATGCACCTGTGATTTTTTAAAAAGGAAAAGTAAAACGTACCTAATTTCAAATGAAAAAACTGAAAAGAATGCATAAGGGTGTGCAAAGTGGTTGAAGTAACAATAAAACAGTACAGCTTAATGTTTACGTGAATTAAGCTGCAATGCAGAAATTGTATGTAAACCATGAAGTTTGCTGTATAAATAAGACGAATGAATACACAGTAAGACATACACTGAAAACTGCCTAAAACTGTACTCATGAGAGTTAGAGAAGGGAGGGGCCCTGTTCTGCACCAATACTGCCTCTTCACACAACCTTCTAGAAGAAAATGTTGCAAGGTTGACTTACAGGTGGATTATAGCAAGAATGCTTTAGGAGCCAGCACAGTGGGGCATCATCTTGTGTTCTCAGACTCTCTTCCCTTGCTTGCATGAGGATGGAGCTTAGGACTGATCAATGGTCCACCTTCTCCCTCCTACCAAGCTCCAGGGAAAGAGCTAGAGTAGGAGTCCTTGGGGACTCACATTGTGGTGAAGGTAAGAAGAGGTCTTGACTTACTTATCTTGGGACAGGTATTACTCCACCCTCCACCCTTCTTCCTGAGTTTGACAGGTTGGAAGGACAGCTATGGAAGCAAGGGCACTCAAGCTGGGTTAGTCCAAGTCAAAGACTCCCTTCTGTTGCCTTTTAAGAGCCGATTCACTAAGTCAGTTCTGGACTGTGACAGGGACTAGTTCAGTCTCTCGATGTTGCCTTGTGTTGGATACTGTTCCCTGTATATCTCTCTCTTTCCTTTCAAGGGAGTGTTGCTGTGGGGTCACTGACAAAGTATAGCCTAGGAGTGGATCTAAGGCCCTGTTTGCTATCTCAGGACAAGACATAACAGGCAGAAAATGGAGCTTGTTGTATTAATATTTATACAACTGTTTTAGGTGTAGAATTATGAATACCTCCCCAATTTTACTTCTTTTAAATAAGAATGTACATAATCTACTATAGCTTCAAACCAAAGCACATTTTATTTTCTAGCATTGGCCAGAATGTCATTCTTATAATTAATTGTATTACACAATCAACAGGTGTCTCATTGTGTAGCTAATTACATTTATCCTCCATAGTTTTAATTGTTAGTAACATACTCATGAACAAATGCATTGTTTTCCTGTGTCTGCATATTTTACATACCTTTCTATCTTGCTTATCACCTACCACAAAGCTAAACACAGAGTAGGACTGAAATGAGAAATAGCAAAGCTTCTGAAATGGAGATGATTTTTTTTTCTCAATTTCCAATACATGTAACTAATATCCTGGCTCTCCTATCAACCTTTCTTTTTCCTGAAGTGGTTTTTGTGGTTGTTATTGTCTGGGGAGTCCTTACTCCCTTTTAAAATTTCTCTCATATCTGTCTTTGTGAATTCATTTTTCTTTTACTTATTTTTGTTTGTTTGTTTTGGTACCGGGGATCAAACTCAGGTCCTTGAGCTTGTGCAGCAGGTGGTGAAACCACTGAGCTAAATCCCTGGCCCTATTTTTCTTTTACTTTAGTCAAATAATTTTTATTTTGAGTTACAAATACAGTTTAAATCATCTGCTGTTCAAAAATTTTTCTTTTAATGCATTGTAATAAGATATTTTATTTTGTAAAAGAGTCCATTTATACTCTGATCTGTTAATTTCAGAAATCAAGATCTTTTGCCCAACCTCTCTCATTATTTTTAAAAGATTTCAAGTCCCAGAAAGACAGGAAGCACTTCATTTACATACCCTGTGGTACAATAGAGAATGTTGTGCCTTTTTTTGAAAACTATAATTACATTAAAATAATATTTAACATAGTAGTAACAGAAAGGGGCTATTTTTAACCTGGTACCAGAGTATCTTCCTTCCCAAACAATAGCAGTGACTCAGTTTGAGGATGTGGGAAACTAGCATAGCTGTGTTATGGTGAGAGGAAGAACTTTTCTTACCTTAGTTTCTTTCCTCCATCTGCAATTTTAGCTTTTTGAAGATAACCTTCTTTTTCAACCATCTGCAAGAAGAATGCATATGTTAAAACTGTGACAGGCTCCTATGCATTTTTAGTTTGAATGAACCTGTGCTTTCCAACAGTCGTTGCAGTGATAAAAGTTTCTAGTCAGATAACTTTATTAATAATGCACATATAGCTTATGGGAAGTGCTGGCAAGATCACAGTGATTGCAAACTATTAAATATCCAAGATAGATTACAAAAAGGAATATAAATGATTTCTTAGGTAATAATACACCTTTATCATTTTGTTTTTCTCTGCAATGAAGTCATTTGCTTAAAAGATAGATTCAACAGAGGGGAAACAAAGACAAATTTAATGCCTCCCTAAAGTTTTCTGACCATTCTTGGAAGAGTTCCCAATGTACCTGCTGAGGCCAGGCAAAAGGAACAATTCAGTGGAATCAGGTAACTGAGCCACTTGAAGCAGGGACGGGTTTTTAAAATGCAACATTTTATGTATTGCAGTCAGTTACCAGGAAAAGCTGCAGTAACACTGTCTCACTGTCTTCTTCCATGATGTATGGCTGCCTTCTTTTTTCTACTCATGTGTATTGGCTTTCATTGTTAATATACCTGCATGTCTCTTAAAGGAGGTTCAACAGGTTAACTTTACAGAAGGGTTCGTGAAGTTCTAGGATGGGTTCAGTTTCTTAAGGCCATATTTCTACCCTGCCCTTCTGTTCCACTTCCCATATACCAAATCCTTAGTTTGTGTTCTAGCTTTTTACTCATAGGAAATTGTTCATATGCTTTCCCTTACACTGTATGCCAAAAGTTCTAAAATGTCACCTCCTTAATAGCAGAGAGCTACATTCCTTCAGGGCTATCTTTGACTCTAGCACTAACTCTACCATGTTGTCATCTTTCATACTCCTAAACACACTAAATCTACTTTGAAATTTAATTTGTGTGGTATTCATTAGAGGCTTTTTTCCATGATTGATCTGCAGTTCCTTTAGATACCTCATCCGAGATCTCCATGTTCACTTTTCATTATGACTTTGACAGCATTTATCAAATCATATTGTAATAGTCTGCTTACCTGCCTGTGCCTGCACCTATGCTGATTCTATTGAAAGCAGAGAAATATAATTCTCACATCTGGATTCCAAACTCCTAAATACTTGATGACATCAATAGTCACACCAATAAATACTGTTTGAATAAATTCCTGAAATTTTCCAAACAAAAAAAAATCATCTACAACATGACTAGTGAGAATAGATACTTGTAGGTAAATGAATTGCTCCAAAGCCCTTAAATCTTAGTGAACGAATTAGCTTTTTTGCAAGATTCACTTAAAAATAGATGTGATCTTCATTGTTGTACTCTTAATATTGTATGTAGCATAGCACTTAGCTTTCAAAATTTATTTGATAAATATACCTTTGAATGGTGACAAAATAATAATGATAATGATTTGTGATAATTATAGCAAAGTATCTTTCAGACATCTACATGTTCAGGACATTTCTTTTACTTCAGTGTGTTCCCCACGACTCTCAAAGAGCCTAAGGAAGCTTAATCTTTGCTAATTTTTAGAACCATGGTGCTCAATGGTGTCTTTTTTGTTAGTGTTTTTTGATTTATTCATTTTCTTTGTCCACTTCTTATTCCACACACACACTGACCCTTTTTTATTTTCTAAATTTTATTTATTTATTTATTGGTGCCGGAGATTGAACTTGGGACCTTGTGCTTGCGAGGCATGCGCCAGAACCAGTGAGCTAAATCCCTGGCTCACTGTCCCTTTTTTCAAATTTTCTTGAAGCCAGGAAATTTTGTCCACCTCCTAAAATCCATATCATATGTTCACTGTTTAACTCTGGACATCACTGGTTTCTATAAATGTTTGAAATAAAAGATGTTTTCATAGCAATTAGCATCTCAGAGGAGATCTCTTTTTTTAGGAAAATATATTAAAATTTTTGTTGTATAACCATAGACAAAATTTATTGTCCACTTTAACTTTCTTCTTATAAAAATAAAATAGCTACTCAAAACCTGGATTTATATACCAGAAAGCTACAAAACCTTTCAATCCATTATAAAAGTGTGCATGTATTCTCAGCCAAAAATTGTACCTTTAATTTCAAAAATAATATGAGTTTTATCATTATGTATGTCTAAAGTGTACCAACAAGTATTTTGTTATTAAAAAAAATAAAATGCAGGCTGGTAATTTAGTTCAGTGGCATTGTGCCTCCCTTGCAAGAGCAAGGTTCTGAGTTTGATCCCCAGTACCAGAAAAAAAAAATACTGCTGAAAGCTAAAAATGAATATTGACTAAAATACCCCTGTGGGGAATTTAGTACCCTCATAGAAGTATTATTAATGAACATTTCTTTAAAAGGAGAAAGGATACTCTGGTTTTTCTTCAGATTGTATAAATCTTTTGCCTTTTAAAAGGAGAAGTGAAGGGAAGAAGCTAATACTATTTCAGGGGAAAATCAACGGAAATAAGACTTCAGATATATCTATAAAATCTATCCCCTCAAATGCATAACTGATATTCCATCAGACATTGCTGTTGGACTTTTCTCACGGTACCTAATACCAGGGTAGCCACTGGCTTTCTTTCTCTTGTTAGTTCATTATAAATGCAACATCATTGCCATTCATGGCTGTCTTAGTTACTTTGTTGTCACTGGGACGTAATATGTGACAGCCACAACTCTAAGGAGGAAAGGCTTATTTGGCTCACAGTTTGTAGAGGTTTCAGTCCATAGTTGGCTGGCTCCAAGGCAAGATAGCATGGCTAAGGGACATGGTAGAGGACAAACAGCTCATATCATGGCAGGCAGGAAGCAGAGAATGACCAAGGAGGAGGAAGGATGCATACTCTTCAGGCCACATTCCCAGGGATCCATTTCTTCCCACCAGGCCTCACCTCCCAATATCACAACCAGCTGTAAATTCATCAGTAGACTAATCCAGGGATAAGCATCACATACCCATGAACTCACCTCCCAAAAGCCCTATCTATGAGTGTATGAGGCTTTGTGGGGACATCCAGATATAGGCCATAAAAATGGATCAGTTGTTTTGGGTCCTGTCCTAAGTTTCCTGAAATGACCACCTAAAGGTCCTGGGAAAATGATGATGAAAGAGCTGAGCAGCAAGTTAGTTATCATCTCCCATACTGTCTTCCAAATTCCAAGCTGTCTTCCAGGTTATAAGAAAAAAACTAATAAGGCAATAACCATTCTATTAGCTTTTTCTATACATTTACCATTAACATGCAGGACATTACTCATCTACATATGTCTGATGTGCATTTCTACATGTTATATCCATGTTCTGCTATCATGCACATAGTCTCACTTCTGTGATCAGTTGTTCATTTCTATTGCTTCTTTATACTAGATACACACTCATTCTTTCATCAAATTTTTAATTAGTCATACCCTTTCTCTCAAATATCAGCTACTATACTTAGAGTGGGTATGCAAAGATTAATAGGACAATCTTAATCTTATTGCAGCTTAGAGTCTTGTGACCTCACATAAAGATATTTCTATTAATCTCTCCTCCAGTCATCTCAGTCATCTTTTTGCATGGAATGGAAAACTCCAATCAGACTTCCTAGGCTGAAAATATTGCATTGTTCTAGGTCCCATGTTGGCAAGGAAAAACTTCCACAATATAGAGTTAATTTCATTATTATTCCTTATCATCATAATTAGAAATACCTCATCATGTTCTAGCAGTTATACTGGGATACTCATACTGAGCTGAAAGAAATATTAGGGCAAGTAGATGACTGCTATATATTCTGCATGTGGGTGTATATATGGTACCTTATTAATTATTCTAATTATTTTAATCTCATGGTCTAAAGAGACCATGATATATAAATTGGAATTGAGTGTGTTGGTCATTATAGTGCGCAGATGGTCTTATCTTTATTGGTTTACAAAATTATTATAGATTTAGATCTAAGTTTAAAATTCTACATGCCAAATTCTAGTACAAATTAAAGAGGTTTTTTAAAGTAGTAAAATACTTATTTTTAAGAAATGTCAACCAGTTCCTAAATCTGGTTTCTGGAGCTATTTTTTCAATGTCCCTTAGAGGGACTTTTAACATTACATGGCAGGAGAGATCAGTGATTTGTCCAGATTGGATGCCAGCCAGTTTGCCAGCACTGCGGAAGTATTCAGCAGACACATCCCTGCTGAGATACAGATGAGAAGAATGAATGGCAGTGAGGTACCCAGATAGCACCTGTTCATCAACTTACATTGGAGGCAACAGACAAGGCAGGAGAGAAGACAACCTTTGATTAGTAGTAACAACTGTGGCAGAAAGATTAGCTTCTAACCCCACATTCACACACTACAGTTTTTTATGTGAAGGCTCCATGTGGTTCTCAGATATAATTGCAAATAATAGGTTTTCATTTACATCAATCTACCAAAAGAATTTTGTTAAAAATGCATGTTTATAAATGGAAATGAACTGAATTTTACCGAGAAAGGTTTGACTCTCAACATCAGAACAACACAGGCTTTATGCCTTATAATATTTTCTTTGGTGATGTATTTAAGTTCTTCTCTTCCACTTCATTTTGATTTTGTGTTCATCGGCAACCATTTGAATCCAGATTCAGCTTCTTAGGTCATTTGATGTAGTGTCAGAATACCCTCCATTATGTTCTGTGGTATAGTCCTAAGAAACTATCATATTTGAAGAGATTGACAATATTGACATAATATGATTTTTCTGGATTCACAAAGCTGAGATAACTCTAGCCCTAAACTGGGTTAAGCCTTCAGAAGAGGGATTTCAACCTGTGGAAATTTCTATATGGCTGATAGAGCTTTCTCTAAGAAAATGTTATATCATCTCTATGTGATGATGGGCCACTATCATTTTCAAACAGCTCTAGCATTTAATTATTTTCCTATTGAATAATGAGACTGTTGCTAAACTTTTGGTAGATCATAGTGCTTTGCTGATGATCTTGCTTGCTTTGAAGACTTCTATTAAAAAGCA